AATAAATTGCTTCTCAATTACAGTGCCGTCCATTTGAATACAGAGTCACATCCGGCGTTCGGCAAAGGCTTTCGGTGCCTAAACTTTTTATTTGTAATTCAATAAACATTTCTCATTAAAATATACTGTACTATAATTTCAATTATAGATTAGGTTTTTCCGGAATACTTGATATGGAGGTCTTCTTTCAACGACTTCATGACGAGTAAAACTTCTAACCTCTTAAAAATTATGAATTAAAACAATTGTTAATTTTTAAAATTAGATTTGACACTCAAGTTATAATATTACCGCCAAGTGTTCCCTACAAAGGTTTGTCACTTGTATTTTATAACAAGTTTATAGCAATCAATTGTGTATTTTGCTCAAAATTTAGTGAAAATAAAAGGAGACATGAATATAAAAAAGTATGGACGCGAAGAACTCATTATAACGAATGCATTGGAGTTACCGAATGTCGACATTATTAGCGAATACTTTGAGCCGATGGTCATCGGGACTGTCACTACACCTGAAAATTACTTGAAACATGTGTCCAGAATATGTCTCAATAGACGTGGCGTTCACATCAATACCTGTTATTCTGAAATGAATACCACAACTCTTTCGTATAAGTTTCCATTGAGTGAAATAATTACCGACTTTAACCATGAGTTAAAGGCTGTCACATCGGGTTACGCCTCGTTTGTCTACAAAGACATTGGCTATGAGAGCACCGATTTAATCAAACTCGATATACTTCTTAATGATAAGGCCGTCAATAAGTTGTCTCATTTGGTGAATGCGTTCAGAGCCACAACATATGGCAAGAATCTGTGCGCTAAGCTTAAGAACCATCTAAAGCGACATCAATTCGATATCAAAATCGAAGCCGCGATCGGAGATGAGATTGTGGCCCGAGAGGACATCAAAGCCTATCATATGGGTAGTCATATAACACGAGTTGACATTATTATTATAATCGTTGTTTCCTATTCTGGTAACAGATATGAAGCCTAAACTATTGCGAGGAAAAACCACTCGCAAACAGAAACTATTGAAACCACACATTGAAATCACTACTGAAACTATAATCAATGTTTTAAGAAGTGGTCATTCCTTACAACTCTAATGCCGAACAAATTGATATTTTTCACCATTACTTTTATATAATCAGTAGACGTTGGTTAGAATATCCAGAAATAAAATAATAATTGATAGTAATTGTATTAATTTACAAATTGTAGTCTATAGTTAGCCTATAGTTAGCCTGGTAATAGTTTTAGCTCCATTTGGTCAACAATTATTGTCGCATTGAATGATTTGCTTGAAGAGTGACAAACCAATGGCCAACACATTATTGCAACGCAAACACAGAATAATAATAAATTGGATGACAAATCACTCGACAAATACTGTATACAAATAAACTCGAATGAAGATTATTATAAATTTTTATTAAATTAAAATTCACTCGAATTGTTATCAACACAAAAGACATAATTACAAACATTTCTATCAATAAATGGGAATCCAATTGAGAAGAAATGAATTTATTTTTATAAAAATGTAAATCAATTTTTATTTTGTTTTTATTAACCATTAAATAAAGTGAACCTAAAACTCCATTTCATACTCATATCCACCAATCAATTGTCACTTCTCTTTGCCGTCGCTCTATATATCAAATAAAATTCAATATAATTTATAATTCAAACAATTAATAAACAATCAAATACTTTGTCTTCCGTATCGTCCGTTTCCATCGGGACGGGAGAGTCCACGGGTTTGGATTCGTGCGCTGCCTGTAAAGACATTTGCATTGCGTACGCGATCTGTTCCTCTTCGGACATTGTGGCGAAGTTAGGCATCGCTGACGAGGCGCTCACCGGTGGCTTCACACCGGCGTTCCTCTCCTCATCGGTTTCCAAAGACATCGCCAGAGCCTTCTCCAGGAGTGCCTCTTCAGTGTTGACGGTCGGGCCGCCAGTGGTTGCGGCGG